CCGCCCTATCCGCTCGCTCGCGCGTGTCCGGCCTCGCTCTCCGCCCGCTTCGTCGCGCCGGCTCGTCGCTCCGCTCCCTCCTGTCTTAGTCGCCCGCGCCCGTCCCGGCTCGTCTCAGCGACCCGCCACGCTCGTAGATTGCCCGCCTGCACCGCTCGTCCGCACGCTCGTCGTCTCGCTCCTGCGTGTCCCCCGCCCGCCCGCTCGTCGCCCCGCCCGCTTCGCTCGTCACCTGGCGCCTGCCTAGCGCCGCCAACGGCCGGCCGGCCTAACGAACCTCCCGCGCCGCCAGCCGCCGCGACGCATCGTTTTGGTGAAACCGTTAACATTCCTAGGATTCTCCTCCACTGAGGTTCGCCGACGGTGATTGCGGAGGGCTGCGAACGCCTGTTTACTTGAGGTGACTGTCGTCTAGATCTGCTCTCCCCACGCATGCCCGTGTGCTAAGTAGAAAGCGGCGGCTTAAGTATGTTAGATTCGGGTTGAAATAGAATCTGTATAAGATTGTACTCCCAATGAAATGTACGAAAGAAACATATTAGGCATCGGTACAAAAACACTGAGGTACGAGACTAATTTAAATATGTTATCTTGCCAATCCAGACAGATAATGAATAAACACACTGAACAATGTCAACTTTTTCACACACATTCAAATGTTTTTTTATATTAAAAAGTTTGATCTCCACACACGAAAGAGTGCTGTAAAGAGACAAATTGTGGTTAGTCGATAATGATATTCAGCAACAGTTAGAAATTAATCGAGCTCCATATATGTGATTTTCAAAACAATGACTATTAAAATAATATTCTACAAAATATTTTAGCGTAGCAATTTCGTGGTACTATGGATCATTAGAATATAACACATATAAATATCAACTATTTCTTATAGTATCGTAATATTTATAAGTGAGCTAGGTATGCGTAATTGGTGGCTACCGGACCGTATTTCTACTATTATTACAGTGTTTTAGTAGGTTAGGACGAACCGCTGAACTAAATTACACCGAATGATTTTATTTACGAAACAAGTATCAGTACCTCCTTGACGAATTTCTCTTGCGTGTTCCTTCAACTTATCGGATTTCAATGGTCCGATTTTACTAAACGAAGCTAAATCATGTCTTAGTGAATCTTACTAAAGCAATAATTTATTTTACATACAACGATCAGCATAACCTAGAACATGATTTAGTACATTTCTACTACATTTCTCTCAGTGTAAAAAAAACATACTATAGATCTGAAAGTTCTGAGAATCGATTGCTAATCCTTCTCTTCGAAAAAGGCAACACGAGAGATAAGCGCTTACGAGACACACAAAATATCTCAGTAGAGAAACGGATTTTAATAGTGAGCATACTAACCGTAGTGGTTGGCGTTGAAACAAAATGATATTTCCTTTGTTCCATTGTAAAAGGACATATGGTGCGCCCAAATTCGCCGGCCCCGCCCCCGGGCGACGCCAGCGCCATGGCGCTCGCCGGCCGCGGCCGCTGCTGCACTGTCAGCACCACCTGCGTCGCCGCTGCAACACACAAACACCACAAGGGCACGTCAGCACAACATAGCGACATTTTACACAACTGGGAGAAAAAGGGGATTTTATTGTTAGCAAATCAGGGTCTAAAGTGAAGCATTCACTCCCTAGGGAGGAAATATTTACTCCATATGGAGATAACACATTTTGGCATATTATCTTTCTTTTTCTATAAAGAACCTAAAAATTGTATCTTAAGTATTTAAAAAATTATAGCCCTAAATGATGAAAGAAAGTCAGTGGCAGTAAGACTGTCATCTCCTATAAATTCTCTACTCTTTAGTCGGGCATTTTAACCATGGACAGAATGAGTCAATATAAGGAGGATTACAGTGAACAGATATGATAATGCGTTACATTTCTACGTCCTTCAATACGCCTTTGCATAGCATTCGCAAACACAGACTTTTTTCTGGTAATCAGAAATTCTAATTCTTGAATTAATGAAAAACGAAAGAACGAAACGTAAATTTCAGAAGTGCAAGTCGACAGACAAACATATATTATGACCGCCATCTCAAACGAGAAACTCAAAATGTACGAGAAACAATGAACATTTTCGCACTTTCGTTTCAAAAGTATTAATAACCTATTACTACCTACCTAATCTAAAGACTCTGGTGTTAATCACATCAAGTATAAAAGTTTAAAATATTACTAATGTCGCGATAAGACAATACACATAAAAGTAATTTTTGTTTAATACACATCGTGCAGTATATGTAATTTCATTTCATCTGAAATATCATTAATTTATTCTAAAGAGAGACTTACACAACTCAGGAGTTCATTGTATTTGGACAATTTTGTAGACACATCTTGCGAACTTAAATACCTTTCTGATAAATAAATAGAGATATTGTCAGGTATCAATATTTTAATTCCACTAATGATCATTTCGATCG